TCATTAGAAATCTATATCTAAAGTGACGAATTTAGAACTGGTTCGAAATTATAGAAAAAGGGACGCAGGACGAACTAGATCTTATCTGTCGAATTTAGAACTAGTTCGGAACTATCGAAAAAGGGATGCAGCGGGGGCCTTGTTTACTTTACATAGATATGTGTTTGGCGGCTTTTTCGTTCAAATGCAGTTTCATTCTGCACTTCGCAGATGCTTTTTCATAGTTTGGTAATACAAAACAAAACTTTGTGTTAACATATTAACATCTTGGGGACGTTTGGAATCTAACCAATAACAGCGAGCACCTCTGCAAAGTCAGCTACAGCCAAAGGTATGTAAACGTACATTTCTTACAATCATTCAAACAAATTTAATTTCAAATTGAAAAAACGTTTCTTTGAAAATAATGTAAAATCGCACCCAGAAGAACCGAAAAGATTGAAAAATCATGACACTTTTTTCTTTCGTCTGACGATTTTAAAACTGGTTCGGAACTATAGAATTTAGAACTATCGAAAAAGGGATGCAGCGGGCGGCAATTGACACTTCCTAGGACATCGCCATGTTAAATTCGCCAGTTGTTTGTATGCAAAAGAGATTTATCGCGAACCAGTGCTGGGTCTAAACGTACTACAGGCGCACCAGTTCAGAACTAGAGATTTTCCCCACAGGGGCGCATTACTAACCACTGCACCACAGTCACCACCAATTTGGTCGCACCAAATTATGCTAAGAAACAACAAAATCAATTATTTATTTATTTATTTAAATATTATTTTTCTTATAAATTTTGTCTTGCACCTTTGGTATATACTACAAACATACTACTTCCCCGAATAGATCGATTTCTATTTGTCAGATAAAGTTCTTCCTCTTTTTTGTGTCAAACTCATACAAATCCATGGTGACGCAGTCACATTCAAAAAAATTCAAGTCGCCATCGACAAAGCTTGTCTAAATATGAAGATAAACAATTTGCGGTTGTGGCCCTTCGTTTTCAATGTGTTTCATGCTTTACTTACAGCAAAATATAGGTGGAATGAGCTTTCCTCTAATTCGTTGTTTTTCGCTGGAAGTAGTTACATGATTTATAAATTTTTGAACTACTAACCGGGTGAAAAATTGTTTCATTAGAATTTATAAAGCTCTGGAATTCTTCGAAATCCTTTAATACGTATGTATGCACATACATATGTACTCGTACAAATGTACATTTATGATTTATGTACGTACATGCATATGTATGTATGTGCAATATAAGAAACTAAAAAACAGCTGCAACAATATCTGCAGCAATTTTATAGGCGAAGGCGGATATTATATACAAGCATTTCACAAAAAAAAATAATTTTCGCATTTTTGCATTGCATATCGCATCGCTTTGTGAGACTTATTTCTACACATGCTTGATAATTTCTTCATTGAAAATAAGTTTATGGATAAGTACTGGACCGAGGACCGAAGGGAAAACCATGTACAAGGCCATAGTAGTACTCTACATTTCATTTCGCTGCATTGCGTTCGATGCATACAATTTGGTGCAGTTTGGCAAAAATTCAGCTATGCAAGAAATGAAAATTTGTGTTTTGTACACAATAAAATTTTTGTCCACCTAGATTTGGGATTCAGACCACTGTGCGCCGCAAAACAAGCACGTATTGGCTAATATAAATATAAATCCACACTTTGTAGAGAAATTAAAAAATTAATTATTCATTGTTTTTATAAAAATCTAATTATGCAGTTTTTAGCTCATTAAATTTTAGTAAAAAAGTGCAAGTTTCAACAGGCTAAGAATTTGTGTTGATTTTTGATAATTTGATTGCTGCATTGAGACGCTTAACCTTTTTGGGTGATTTTTTTGCGACCAAAATCGCTGCACCATAAACACCGCCATATGAATTTGTGTTATTTATGCCTATTAGCGATTTTGATCGCATCACGCGACGCTTGGTCGTGAACCTAGCCTTAAGCTAGAAAATTATCGTTGTGCAATTTTTTAAAATTTTGTAGAAAGCTAGAAATTAGAATTTACATGAATTTTGTTAGACCGTATCATTTTGTCGCCGGGTGTAAAACAGGTACACATAGTATCAGGAACTCCTTCTTTATTGAGAAACGGTCTCAAAAAATACTGTAATGTGAAAGATGCATTTTTTAATAGAGATAGCGCGAAACTGTTTTTTTTTGTTTTTTTGCAGCAATATACAGTTCGAAAAAATAAGCGAGCGGTATGTATGTATGTAGGTACATACTTATATAAGTTCCAAAACAAAACGTTAAATTTATTGGGTAATTAATTAAAATGTCTTTAAAGCAATTAAAATATATACATGACAAGCGCATTAAATTGATAAGAACTATATTTGACTCTATGTACAACAGTACATATTTTCTTAACGTACTTATGTACATTAGGGTGCATCACCAAAAAAGTGCAGTTTTCCAACGGAATTACAAAACTTATTATACCTTAAATTTTTCCCAAAATATTAAGATTTATACTTAAGCTACCCCAATTTGAAAATACCTCCAAAATCTTCTTATTTCGATTCTGTGCTTAAACTCTTCTATCATCTAAGGTACGGTAAGATAAAACGTACATATATCTAGCAAAAAAAATTACAAATTGTAGCCAATATTTTTTGCCTGCGGTCGTGGGAGTATTTGTGTAACAAAACTAGCCAAATGTCACATATATCAACTTTGATAAAAATGTCTTTAAACATGTTATTTCTTAAGCTATATAACCGAGCTCTCAATGGGCAGTCATACAAGTTCCCACTTCAACTTGACCTTTGACGTACGTCAAAGAGAACATAGTCCATTTAACAATTTCTTTTTTTTTGTTTTCTGTGCTTTAAATATATGCATTGGTTACTTTTTTTATTATGATTTTTTGGACCAATCTTAAAAAAAAACTACTAGACATAAAAGAAGAAAGAGGACACTTTAAGTTTATGCCAAATTGTCATGACTTGCTTTTGATGTTACATAAATATATTCGTTTCAATTATTTCAAAAGGGGGTCTCTTTTAATTTATTTTTAGCAAGCATTTTAAAAACAGTAATTTCGTTTACTATTCGTTTCTTAGGGATATACATATATGTACTTCTGTGGTTAACTGTCCCCTACGTCTCCCTTCTTTGCTATTTATAGCCAAAGAGTAATCTCCTTCAATAGGCATTTCAGCAGAAATGGTCAACGTCTGGCTATAAAGAGAATCAACCGATTCAGCTGGTAGCCACGACATCGAATACAGTATTTTGTTCAAATTTTCATTCCTGGAAAAAATTTTTCAAACCAGTCACAGAAGAAAGTGTTAAAAATGAATTACAAAAACTAAAATCGAAAAACGCTGATGACGTTACAGGTTCCCTCAAATTCTGAAACAGCCAAATGAATGAGAATGAAATTATTTTGATTTGCTATGAAAGTTTTTAGCCCTTTTTTAGCCATTTTAAGCTACTTTTAAAATCAAATCTGGCCACTTTTTTTGCAGCAACACTGCTGCTCGCGTACTTGCAAAGACAAAAACAACTCATAATCACGCGGAAAGTTAAATGCCCAACGCTGATGTAAATACATCCAGCAAAAAAGCCATATTGCTTCAACTCTACTGAAAGTTAAATATACTTAACTACTACACACATACGAGTATGTATATATGTACATTAAACCCACGTTAAAAAAAAGAAAATCTTCAATGCGACCGTTTTGAACATTTTAATTAATCCTAGAAAATTGTATTGCCCTCAAAAGAGAATAACTACTTAATTTTCTTACGTGTAGTCCCTATGGAAAAAATAAACACTCGATGCGCGTCTTCTTGAATTGTCGAAGAAATTGGAGACTCATGGTATCATTAGTTTAGCAAATTTATTATATTTTATTTTTTTACGTGGTATAATGTACACGCTACACGATTACCTATTTTAGTGATATTTTAGAGACCCACAAATTGCAGTCGCTGTGGTTCCGCTAAAATAAATTTTTTTTTCTAATAGCGGTCGCCCCTCGGCAGGCAATGGCAAACCTTCGAGTGAATTTCTGCCATGGAAAACTGCAACTTATAAAAATACAATCGCCGTTTGCAGTCGGGGTTAAACTGTAGGTCCCTTGCCATAAAGTGTGACATGAGGGCACACGCCACAAACCAGAGAAGCTCATCCAAAGACTAACATCTATTTGAGTGACTTTAAAAGGTTTGACTTTGAATTAAAAAAATAATAAGTTTTCCTTAAATTTTATTTTTTTTTTATTAATCTTCTACTAAAGGACATCTTAAATTACACCTATGGCTGGTTAATCGTTAAAATATTGTTTAGAAACCCAATGAAACATTTATTTAAATGGAAAATGGCTTGCCTCGACTTAGGCAAGTTTAATTGACGGGAGCAGATATGTATTAGGTTTTTTTACAGGAACATTGGGTCGTATGAAATTCATACTATAAATAGAACCTGAGCAATTGCTTTTGTTAAATTTCAGACTTTAATAATTTAATAATTTCTCATCCTCTCCTCACATATTTAATTTTGGAAAGTCATATGCCTAATGTGCATAAATATTTATATGTGGCATTTATGTGACGTTTCCAAAAAAATATGTTTCATCAAAATGGTCAGCACTGGTGAAAAAATTAATGCGCTACATTAGTATCAACGCTCAATGTCTAAATAAAATATGATATATCCACTTTTTGCTACGCTTCAAAACACTCTCGATATGTCTTTTTTTAATGCTGAACCAGTTACTAAAGTTATAAATCAAAACATTTTCGGATTAGGTTTTGTTACGACCCTATTATTATTTTATAGAAATGATTCTGATAAATTCTTATATTATTTTTATGATTTAGTAACATTTTTCTTAGCGAGATTCGAAAAAAGTACGCAGCATAAGTATACTATAGAAGAAATGGATTTAATCGCATTGATGGAAAGATTGTAGCGTGCAAGTATGTTCTGCCGGCAAACCGCCTATAAAAAGGTCTTTTCTGTGCTCTTGGCGTTCAGTCTTCTTTTCCCCACGTCTTTCAGTGTGCGTTTGTTTTCGTTAGTCTGAAGAAATTCCAGATACTAGCATAATAATATTCCAGCAAAGGTACGGATGCTCGTATGTGAAAGCATTTGGAAATTGTGTTTGAAAAAAAATACGTGTTTAAATTTAATCAATTAAATTTACTAAGTTTAAGTGTTAAAAGTGTTAAAAATTATCTCAAACCATCGCAAAAACACACACACTAATTTCCGAGTACATATGTGTATTTAATACTCATATGTAGACAAATACCCGAGCTGGGCAATTTTCGATTACGATTACATTTCAATTACGAATGCTTAATTGTAATCCTTAAACTATATGCGATAACGACTACTTTAATTGTAATCATAAATGTTACCATTACGATTGTAATAATTGTAATTTTAAAATTTTAAGGACTAAGATTATTGTAATCCTAATCATGAAGTACATGATTTCGAATACTGTAATTGTAATCATAAAAGTTTTAAGATTACAATTACAGTAATTGTAATCATGGAAATTATGATTACGAACACTTTAATTGTAATCCTAAAAAGATTATGACTACAACTAATATAATCGTAATCAAGAAAATGTTGATTGCGATTTTCTGATATTCTGTAGAGGTTTAGTAGTTTAGTAAATGAGCGGAACTTTCGCCGAAAAGCATGTAAAATTGATTTAAAGTTGAAGTAACACAATTACACAGCGGCAGCTGTGTTGTAGTGGTTAGCAGTGCGCGCTACCATTCCGCAGGGACTGGGTTCAACCCAACAAAAAAATAAAAATATATATAAAAAAATAAGAACTTTTTTTCTGTAATGGTAATCATGAATTGCATGATTGCGGTTACTTTAATTGTAATCCTAATAATTTAGCGATTACGACTGCTGTAATCGAAATTGAAATTTTCATGATTACAATTACGGTGATTGAATTCTTAAAATTTTTAGTATTACGATTATTGTTATGCTGAAAATTTTCAGTATTACAATTACAGTAATCGTAATCCTAAGTAATCAAAATGTAATCGTATTCATAAAGTGCCCAGCTTTGGTAGGTGTTTTGACCCCAACAATACCTATTCGTCCTTGTAAACCAAAAAACTTTATTGTTTGTAAAATCCTACAGAACTTTATCTCTCATTTGGTACCCATATTGTTATTCTACATCGCACTGATTTTTTTTAAATATTTTTTTTTAATTAATCATTTCTTTAAAATTTCAAAGTCCTTTGAAAAAATCCTCACGTCAGAGTGAAAAACTACAAACGGAGTTTTACTATATTTGGCCCATAGTTTCATGAGTATATCGATTCTATCGTGTTTTTTGAAATATTTTTGTTTTTGTCGCACGGTGTTATAAAAAGGTCTATGTGGGAAGAATTAGATTTTTAAATCGCAAGATTGTATTTAAAATTAGTATTTTGGTTTGAACAATTACGATGAAGTCTCCTTTAACAGTTCACATTTTAAATATTTTCAATAAAAAAAGTGCGTAAGTAAAAAAAAAATACCAAGCACTGGTAATGATTTTTGATTTGAAATTTTATTACATTGGTATACATATGGGAAAGAAAATACTCCGATCTATTGTTTTCATATTATTAATGTGATAAGGCGGTTTATAATACTCACAATTTATGAAACTTAAAAAAATTGTATTATCCGTCAAAAGTGGTTTAATGAAACTACCTTCTTTTTTGTATCATGGTAGAACAATGCTAATTATATTTGACTTACAAACAAAATACGGGCAGGAATTTCATAATTTGAACCCGGTTTGTGTGGAATTCACTTTTCACTTTTGGTTTCCATGGTTTCACTATGAGCGGATGAAAGATTTTCGGGTGCATTTTTTTTCAGGCGAAACTCAGGATAAGGCAGAATATCAATAAAAAAAAAAGTAGGTTTTGTGGCACTTTCGGAACACCTTGCCGACCTCTACACAGTTAGCCAGGGTATGAACTTTATAAAGTCGCATGGCCCAGAAAAGTCACAAGTAGAGTTTCTGACACTACTCAAAAATGTGTAGGTACAGTTCTCTTTCGAATAGTCTTTTACTGTAACGCTCATATCTTCAACATTACTTATGCTAAAACAAATGGGTGATTCATGAGGTGTTCAAGTGTCGTATTGTCGTAGGTCGTAAAGTTTTTAATGGCTAAATAAAAGTTTAGAGGATTTGAAGCCCCAACTATTTGTTAACGATGTAAAGTTTCTTAATACCACTTTTATGATAGCTTGCGAATCCGGTTTAAGGTTTACGGCATACAACAATACGACACTATACAACACCTTGTGAACTACCTTAATGTTATAACATCTAATAAAATGCGAATGTGCAGCGAAGTGCAAAAACTACTACATATTTTAAGTACTCTGGTGGGTTACCCCATTCATAAAATACTGTACTTTGTAAAAAATAGTTTAAATACGCATTTGCAACAAATAATAAGACTTTCTTCTTTTAAAAAAAAGTTGCTGAACACATGCTGCTTCAGTGAATAGATATTCTGCCGAAATTCACAATGAAATCAAAATTAATTAACTTTGATCCTAAATCGCCACGCCCATTTCTAGAAAATTCTTTGATTTAAAAAAAGGCGCTGAACTAGCATTGTTATTGAATAGATATTCTGCTGAAATCCACAATAAAATCTTCATTTTGTTAACTTGAGTCATAAAATTGCCACGTTCTTCTCTGTGGGTTTATCGCCTTTAGCAAAGATTTTACCAAACAAGTAAAAATTACTGGATGGGTATGCCGCCGGAATCCGCATAAAATTTACATTTTTGCAAAAACACCCTGCTAGGTACAGAATCTCCAAAAATGATGATGGTGCTACATGGCGTATGCGGAACCCTCTTTTATTCATATTAAACAATTATTTAAAATCGTAGAATAATAAAAGACACTTAAAATTATAATTAAAAACACGAGCTTTTATAGCTGCTGAAATCTTCACCAGCATCGAATTTATTAGAGTTTGGCAGTATTAAACCGTTATTTTATTTTTTCCACGCGTATAAGATTGCCTCTTTCCATTCTGTCTTATTCGAGGGGCTTTTCTTGTTCACATTGGGCTATTTTCGCGCCACTTCAGAGTTGTAATGTCCTTTCTATTGAAATATTCTGTTACTTGAGCAGTGTATGTACTTAGATAGAAGTGCTCAGCACCCTAGCCTGAAACGAGGTTGAGAGGAACAAATTTAATTTCATATGTTCCCACACATAACTAATAAAGAGAAAGAAAACAAAATTCTAAATTTTTTTTGGAAGCCTTTCAACTATAAAGTGTTGTAACTTCGACTCAATAGCACCTACAATATCCTCAAACCATCAAATTAAAGGCTTTCTGCTCTTGTTTAATAATATGTAAACAGTTTTTATCACAATTTCCTTTTACTCATAGTTTCATAGTTTAGGAGAAAAGAGAAAAAAGGAGGAAAAATCATAATTTTGAGGGGATTTTCAAACGGTTTCTTATATAGGAATCGTGTTTTCAATAATTTTGCGTGAAAGTACATTTAATTATCTTTAAAATTACGTCCCAATCATTTCGCTGGCTTCACTCTGGGAGGCGGAAATTAATTTTGTTCTTCTCAATCTCGTTTCAGACTAGTGTGCGCCTTACCACTCATAAGCTCCCATATAGATGCATATGCCGATTTAGTTTCTTAGATAATATTTGAAACACCCTTTTGTTTATGGGTTTTTGAGTTCGCCTCCATCAACTTAGGTTCATAGTGATGACTCCAAACTTCGCCTCCAGTGACAATGCGAATAATATGTTTATCTCAGTTCTCCCTGCCGTTTTTAAATCGATTAAATCGAAGAACGATTAATCGATACCTTTCAGTTAGATTCTTTTTTAGATTTGTTAAGTTCTGATTCGATCCGTGAATCGATTCAAAAAATTCGAGAATCGATATTAATTTTTTCAATTGATGTATATTGATCAACGGTTTACCCCCAGAAAATTTATAAAATTTTAAAGAAATTTGAATTGTAGGCTGGTACAAAAAAAAAATAATGGGAACTGCCATCTCCCGCCTTTCTAACTTGAGATAGCAAAGACCAAAGAATTCAATGACCTGCCTCTCTTTCTCCTCCGACTAAAGGCCTCCTCAGGGAAGCCTCCTGGAAATAACTCTATTTAAAATTATGGCTAATACTGCAACAAAAACTCCAAAAATCGGTGTTCCAAACTTTATGGAAATTTTCAAACAAATTTTGTACTCCTTAATTACTCTTTTTAGAAACAGTTTTGCAGCAAAATTTTCATATAAAGGGTAAATATAGAGTTAGCGAAAACAAAAAAAAAGAACGAAAAAGTGTTAGTATTGCAAAAAAATCTACATATATACATACGTGAGCGCCATTGTATTACACTTTTTAAAATAACGACTAATTTTGAAGTAAAACATCATTTTTTTCATTTGTGATTAAAAAATTAATAATTTAAAAAAATTGAAGCATTTCCTTAAGAAGGGTTAATGATGAATTTCCACTAAGCATTAGATGACAAAAATTTGAATGGCAATGTTGGGCATTACGTTCATAAAAACAGCCATTAGTGCGATTCATGAAACATCGCAAAGTGGCAGTTTTGGTGCAATGGCAACTTTGCGAACAAAATTGTATGAACGACCTATCGCAACTCCGGATTGCAAATGCACAATGCTGCTGATAAGTGAAAAATAAACGTTTTTATCATTACATATGTAAATTTTTTGACATCTTGTTTTTATTCAAGTATTTACGAATTGTTATCTACTTTATAGCTTTTGAAAAAATCTGGATATTGAAACCGTATGAAAAATGTGTCTATGCTTTAAAAATTACAATCGGCCCTATTATGGTTGTCGTCGTTAAACAATAGCCCTAGCAAGTCCAACTCCAACTGCGCTGACCACTGTATTTTTGCAGAAAGGTGTTTCTTGCAAAACTACTGTGGTCAGCTTAACTGAAGTTGGACTGATGAGGCATACTTTTTGATGAAAAAATTAATAATAATAGTTTGGTCAGGTCGCCGATTTTTTTTTTTTTTTTTTATGAAAAATTTAAGTAAAAGGCATTATTTGAGCAAATTTATGAATCGCTCTTAGAAAATCGATTTATTTTTTCCTGATTTCTTCCAGCATCGATTATTTTTATTTCGATTCGAATCGGTACAAAAATAATTTTTTTTTATTTCGATCTGGCATCTCTAATCCCTACACAGATTCAAAAACTGGTCCTAAACACGTGTGAGCATTCTCTTCTCCCATCTTACGAATTATGCAGACTTTTGACCTTAAATAATGGTTATGGATACAAAGCAGAAGCACTATCCATTTCTGCGATTTGCTTATTTTTCAAAATACATACACCGATATTCCAGAATAACTTGTTCGAATTTTTCAACAATTTTAAATGTTTTAACCTGAGCAAGAAATCAGTTCAGATTCATTAAATGTGTTGTTTCTCATTGCATGTTTTCTTCACAGTTGTTAGCCTCCTCGGGACAGGCTTTCTGCCACGACTTATTGCTCTCTGTGCGCAGCTGATTTTGGTGATAGGCAATAGAAATATTATAAAACGCCAATGCAGCTGAATTCAAGGTTTCAGTTTAGTTTTGTAATAGAGCGAAGTGGGTTCCATTCAAGTTTTCTTTTGCGATCGCGCAATTAAAATTTGCTAGTAAGACTGTCTTGTTATTGACGAAAAAATGGCTTTGCTTTATTTTTTAATAATTTCGCGTTTGCTGTTCTCAAGTGCTCATAATATACAAAGTGGTGAGAAGACAACAAATGAGCCAACTGAAGGCAGGGGAAACAATTTAACGGTATTGAAAAACCTCTCGCTTTTATACTTTAACATATGTATGTACCGAGAGTTATACATAAATACACATTTGCTGCAATAGTGTCATAATCAAACAAATATAAAACAGAAATTAGTTAATTATGCAGAAATGACCTCCACCTCTTCTTCTATGTTGTGTAAAAATTTCATAGCTGTATCGATTAACCATAGCTCATTAGAAGAATTGTCTTCAATTTTATTATTTATTTACTATGGGAGCGTACAGATGTAAACTGTTAACTTTAAAGCCGTTTTCCTCGAGTTTTTGATTTTTTTGTTTATGACACTCTTGCAGCAAATGTACAATATTACAATGTACATTAAGCCGTATCACTATATATGAAAGAAAAAAAGTTTAGTGCGTGTCAGTTTTATTGAAACGTGTATGTGTGTCGATAAAAAATTTTGAGGGCACATTTTTTTCAGGCACCCGCTAAAAACTGCTAAATCGCGATTTTGCTACAAATTCCGTATTCGTATTTTAAAATGATTAGGTCGCCGAAAAAGTTCCGGTAAGGACTATAATTGGCTCTTAATTTTTTTAATTTAATTTTAATTTATACCCCGGTTCAACCCAACTTTAAAAAATAAAAACAAAACAAAAAAAAATATTTATTTTGAAGCGGTCGCCCCTTAGCAGGCAGTGGCAAACCTCCGAAAACAACCATGAAAAAACAACTTCTCATACAATAACGCATGTGCGACCGCTTGTAGAACAAAATGTTTGTTTTTTTTTTTCTTTTTGATGTCGTAAACTGGGCTTGAACCCAGACCCTGCGGAATCTCTGCACCACAAAAGCGTAGGGCTTTTAAAACAAACCAAAAAAATAAGCGGAAATCCGATTTCGGTGTGAGAGCGCATGAATTTTGAGAGTTTAGCTTTAATACAGAAAGCTTTTCTCAAGTCTTTTCTTTGCGCACTGCATTGCTTCCTCCTTTCCTATGTAACACGTTTCTCTTTTTTATCACAAATAACAATAATTTGAGGTAGCGTTTATGAATTAAAAAATTATTTTTTTTTGAACCACTCTAATGTGTATACTTACATATGTACGTATGTATGTTTGCGCACAGGTGTATAAATTTATATACAGTATTTAGGTAGTTTTAATCGATCATTAGTTGTTCAACGATACAAATATCCAAAAATTTAATATGAACCCTTCATAACTTCATTTTTTTCGCACAGATGTCATACAAAATCGAACCATTGCCCAATTCGTATGCCCACCTCGGTGAAGGTCCCCACTGGGATATTGAGAAGCAGAGCCTTTATTACGTAGACATTGAAGCTGGCAAATTGCTGCGCTACGACTACCAGGAAGATAAGGTGTACCACAGCAAAATCGAGGGTGTGGAGCTTGCCTCGTTCGTTGTGCCAATCGAAGGTCAGAACGACAAGTTTGTCGTTGGAGATGGACGTCGTGTGGTTGTCGTCTCCTGGGATGGTATCTCTGAAACAAGCAAAGTAGATCGCGTACTCTTTGAAGTCCAACCCGATGAGCAATACGTTGTTAACCGTTTCAACGATGGCAAAGCTGATCCACGTGGTCGCCTCTTTGCTGGAACAATGCGTTATGTAGGCGATGAATTCAAGGATCGTTGGGGCGAGTTGTACAAGTACGAAAAAGGTGGCAAAGTTTCTGTGGTGAAGAGCGATGTCGGCATTTCCAACGGTTTGGCTTGGAACGAGAAATTGAAGAAATTCTACTTCATTGACACCACCGATTATGAAGTGAAGGAGTACGACTATGACTTTGATGCTGGTGTACCAAGTAAGGCCCTCTCACACTCGTACTACATATCGCACACCATCTTGAAAAGAGTCACACCTCAAAAGTCCGATCCGAAAATATAACTGTTTGTTGGTGGTACAGATTTAACGCAATTAATACAAAAACAGTTACAACAGTAGTTTTCTAGCTAGAGAACATAATGATGAAAAATAATAATATTTGCATTAATTAGAGATATGCATCGTAAATCCAACGAATTGATTTATGAAAAATATCTATATAATTTTTTTTCGAAGAAGATGTGCGATATGAAGTCAGTTTTTTGTTTTTGCTTAAGAATTACTTGTTTATTTTATATTTGTTTAGGTAAACCAAAAGTCGTTTTCAATTTACGCAAATCAAACCCTAAGGATAATTTGCTGCCTGATGGTTTGACAATTGACAGTGAGGGCAATCTTTATGTTGCGACATTTAATGGTCACACCATTTACAAGGTCAATCCAAGGTGAGTTCATTTATTTGAAATGTGTAAACAAATTTCGGTTTCTATATTCAATTTGTTTGGTTTGTAGCACCGGCAAAGTTCTTCTGGAAATAAAATTCCCTACCAAGCAAATTACTTCAGCTGCCTGGGGAGGTCCAAATCTGGATATATTTTATGTGACCACGTCAGCTAAATTTGATCAACCTGCACCGGCTGGCACCACTTACAAGATTACTGGCTTAAGAGCCAAGGGTTTGCCCATGTCAAAAGTTCAACTTTAAGAGCACTTATTTACATAAATACATTTGTATAGATATATAAGTATTCTATAACGTGCTTGTATATATCTACATTAAGCAATCTCACTGTGTAAATGATATTCGTTCGATTATAATATGTGAATAAACGTCACACAATGCATAAGAAAATACATTCAGCATTTGCTAAATTCCTTCCTATCCAAATGACCAAATTTATGTATAAGCCGTGTCACTATATATGAAATAAAAGAGTCAATTTATGCAATTCAAAAGTAAAGGTTGGAGACTAGAGTGGGGGGAAAAAGATAAAAATTATATAAATCTAATGCATGATTTTAATTTTTTTTGAGGAGATAAATTTTGTATCAACAAACATAGCTTTTATGTCAGAAATTCATTTTAAAGCCAAATTTACCCTCTGGAGGCTATAGTATATAGTCCGCCTTAAGGCGGACCTATGCATTACAGATATAATAAAGTAGTGATTCCGGATTATTAAAGTTTAACTAAGTTTTCCTGTTTTTCCACGTAAATATTTTACCGTTTGGTTTTTGAAAACGGCATTAAAGTACTAAATATATTCCCTGACGGAAACAAGTGTTTTTCCTTTTTTTAGTCAACTAATTGAAAGACTACTTTAAAACAAATGCCATGAGTAAATGTTTCGAATTTGTATACTCTTTTTGTGTCTTGGAAGTATGAAAAAGCATCTGTGAAGTCCAGAACGCAAGCGTATTCAAAAGAAACATACTGACTTTGAAGTTGTGTAAACCAAATTCATTTTAAAGTAGTTGAAATTAAATGCAGAATCGGGCAGCCGATTTGCCGCTTGCACACAATTCAAACTGAACATTTGAAAGCACATTTACATGTCTGGCTGTAGCTGAGCGTGCAAAGATGTTTGCTACAATTGGTCGCAGCCATGTTCAAATCTCATTTAATTTAAAATTTTCAATTTCGGTTTTTCTTAGTTATGAAAAAGCATCTGTGAAGTGCGGAAGCGTATTCAAACGAAAAATAATGACTTTGAAGTTGTTTGAGCTAAATTCATTTTAAAGTAGTTGAAAATACATTCAGGAAAAGGCAATTCCATGTTAAATAAATGAGCTCGTTGCAGGTAAAATAGTGAGAATTTCAATTAGTTATCATTGAAAATAAAGTAGTTTATAAATTACTTTCAAACTAATTCAATTTCATGCAGGGTTCTTATAAACTTCTCTTGAAAATGATAACAAAACTGAATGTGTGCCTCTAATGTAGGGCTGCCATAAACCTGAGCCCATCAACAAAGACACTTATTTTGCAATATCAAAGACAAAGATACAAGTGAGTATGGTGCCAATATATTCCTTATAAGTACAGTTCCTTTGGTTCTAGCGTTGCATTATTCCGAAGTAATTTCTTGTATTATATTACACTGTACGGCAAAATCTACTTTTTTCTGGGTATTAGTCCAAACCAATTTGTTTTAAGAGGTTGAGTCATAGGTAAAAAAGTAATTTCTCCGTTTTTCGAAGTTAGCCTACGAAATCGAGATATGGGCCTTCGAAATTTGAAATAAGACCTTTGGTAAAAAAGTATATTTAATTATTGCATATAATTAACTTAAAACCTAAAAATATAGACGTAGTCCTCCTTTTGCTCTTATTTAAATGGTATATAACTTTGTTTGTGCAAACTTATAAGGGGTCAAAGTTCAGGCCTTCGAAAAATTAAATTCCTTATATTTCAAAAAATTTTGAACTAGTTCTTAAAATTTTTATATCGCTGTAAAGATGATTAAACCCCCTTTCTTTCGATATGCGTATTTGTATACTTTATATATAAAAATTTAAGAAAAAATACATTTAAATGCAAAAATACCGTTTTTTTTAACAAAAAGTTATTTTAAACAAAAAAAATTACTAACCGATTTTTAAAAAATTGGAATTTTTGTAAAGACGATTAAATCCCCTTTCCTCTGGTATGCATATTTGTATACATCATATATAAAAATTTGAGAAAAAAAACATTTAAAAGAAAAAATACCTTAAAAAACTATTTTAACCAAAAAAAATTACTAACCGATTTTTAAAAGGTTGGTAGCGATGTAAAGCCGATTAAACCCCCTATCTGTTGATATGCATATTTGTATGCTTCGTATATAAAAATAAAAAGAGAAAACAAATTTAAATGAAAAAAATACCGTTTTTTATAAAAAAAAATATTTAAACAAAAAAATACTAACCGATTTTAAAAATTTGTTATCGTTTTAAAGGCGATTAAACCCCTTTCTTCTAAAACGCATAGTTGTATACTTCGTATATAAAAATTTGAGAAAAACCACATTAGAAAAAAAAATACTTTTTTTTATAAAAAAAAAAATATTTTAAACAAAGAAATTCCAACCGATTTTTAAACAACCAGTACCATTGTAAAGGAGACTAAACCCCGTTTCTTCTGATATGCATATTTGTATACTTCGTATATAAAAATTTTAAATAAACACTTAAAAGGAAAAAATGTAAATTTTTTCTTATAAAAAATATTTTAAACAAAAAAATTGTCAATTAGTAATACAATTGAATACTTTATTTTAATAAAACAGAAAATTATCTTTAATTTTTATATATAACCTGTTTGTAAAATATCAAAAACCATAGCGTTTTTATATTTTTATATGCCTTAGACTTCTGTTACATAAACTTTTGATTTATTTTTAACAGGGCTGTGGGTGACAAAGCTCGAATTAACACTTAAAACACTATAAATTATTTGTTTTATTTAAACACGGTATTGAATTGTGTTACTAATCAATAATTTTTTTGTAAATTCTTTTTTATAAGAAAAAAATAGTATTTTTTCCTTTTAGGTGTTTTTTCTCCAATTTTTATATACGAAGTATACAAATATGCATATTAGATGAAATGGGGTTTAATCGCCTTAACAACGATGCCAATTTTTTAAAAATCGGTGGGCAATTTTTTTATTCAAAATATGTTTTGATAAAAAAATTATTTTTTCCTTTTAAGTGTTTCTTCTCAAATTTTTATTCACGAGGTATACAAATATGCATATCAGAAGAAAGAGCAGTAATTTTTTACCAAAGGTCTAATTTCGAGCTTCGAAGGCCCATATCTTGCTTTCGGAGGCTAACTTCAAAAAACGGAGATCTTATGACTCAATCTCTTAAAAAAAGTTAGTTTGGTCCAATACCCAGCCGAGTGCTGTACAGTGTTATTATATTTAAAATGAAATATGACTAGGAAAGAATGCTCCTCATACGCCATGCATGAACTATTAATGAAATCATATGTACATATGTATGTATATACATATATTTTTGTGGAAATTACTACGTATTTTTATATGGCCATTAACAACTTTATTTATCAATCAATTTTCTTCGTTGATAGCTTGATGGTTTTGTAAAAGAATAGACTTTAACATCAATCAAAATAATTTACAAAAAATATTCCCCTGTTAAAGTTTGCATTTCTTTATTCACAATGCAAACTTATAACACAAATATCTTGCGAAAATGACGTGATCTAGAAAATGGGTATACGTTTACGTGTTTCGGCGTTTTTTGGGGTCATTTTAGCTAAGCTTGCATAACACTGCATGTTTCAAGAGCAGGAATAAATCGCAAAAACAAAATTTTTTGAGATGACACTTTAGTTTGACGCCATAATAATAATAATAACAATAATATTTTGGCGCTTACACTTTTGCTACATATTTGTTTGGCCGAGCTGCTCCTCCGATTTGTGCAATGCCTCTTGATGTTGTTGCACAAAATGGTAGAGGCTCCGAGGTTCGCCATTGCCTGCCAAAGGGTGACACCTGTTAGAAAAAGCTTTTTTTCTAATTTTGATGTTGCTCGGACCAGGGATCAAAACAGGGTCCTTCATAGTGGTACACTCTTACTTATCATATGTATGTATGTGTGGCGTTGTTAATTCTAGCCATTTATTATTCACAATTTCCCAGATTACACATAAAATGTTCAAAATTTGATCTAAAAAATGTTTGTTTAAATTTGCCTATACAAAGAGAGATAACCAATTTCCTCTTCTAATGTGTGCAAATTTACACACCGTGTAGTAAAACTAAACACTGATTGTTTACTTTTACATGTCAAATTTGCCGCGTAGACCAAAATTGCACATAAAATATTTAAAGTTGAGTAAATAAGCATTTAATGGTTATTATTAGTAAAAAATATGTTGTTACTTTCAAACAGAATCTGGTTGAAAAATGAAACACTTTTCAGTAGTAGTTTTACTAAACCACAATGGCCGCCATGAACATCGATGAAAAACATTAAACGAATAAAGCGAAGTTGATCAACTATCGGGAAGCAAAGATCGATATTTTGAGCATTCGATTTTGCCTCGAACCGTCGATTATTTACAAAAATCATTGACGATGTCGCAGTCCGAATTCGTAGAGCTAAAAACAGGAGATTTTGGAAAAAAACTGGTTTCCTCATTTTCAAATTAAGATAAACCGGTTTTATTTTACAGTAACACTTACCGTTAGTCAGAAGTCGTGGTCAAAAGTACAATATGACTGCTAAAAATAGGTATAGCTTTAATTTAGCAATCAAGAAAGCAAAATAAGTTCGAAGTATTTTGGATTCAAGTAAAACAGAAAAAAATAGTGAAAATAGTAATAGGGTTCACGGATTTTAACAAGATTTGATCGCTAAAACAACAGCCCTTTGTAAGGAAAAACTCGAGCATGCAGAACCGACTTCTCTGGGAATCTGAATAAACCATCAATTGGCCGGCCAGTTCAAAACTAGACTGGTGCACAAGTGGCTTGGTTTCACATAAGCAACAAGCGACCTATGCATGTGACACTGTTTGTTATGACTTACAGCAATGTAAGCGTACAACTTGAACAGCTGCGAATGAGAAATGCCATCAACATGCAACACAACTTCGTCTCTCGCGACAATGCACGGAATGCGCGGCACTGTACCTACATATGGATGAAAGGCAATGCTGGCAAAACATTGGGGTGGGGTTTAGTAGCGCTCATAACTATTTCGGGCTATTCCGTCCAAAGGGGTGGCCCGATCAAAAAAAAAAAATCCACACACTTGTAGTCAAGGCTCTACGCATTATTTTAACACTCACTTTTGTAAATTTTGGTCACTAATTCATTTACAAATTGGGTTTGAAA